CCCCGGGCTGAAAGCCAGCGAGCGCGGGGCCAGCCGCTGTTCAACAGAGCACAGCAATGTACCAGAGCCCCACGCCCCAGAGACATGCAGGGCAGGGGTACAGGGCCCCACGCCCCAGAGACATGCAGAGCAGGGGTACAGGGCCCCACGCCCCAGAGACATACAGGGCAGGGGTACAGGGCCCCACGCCCCAGAGACAGGCAGGGCAGGGGTACAGGGCCCCACGCCCCAGAGACATGCACCAGGCTGGAACACAGAGGGTGTGAGGTATTGAGCACAGCACCCCCCTAATGCTGGGCAGGGGAGATGGGGTGCAGGTCCAGGCTCCCTACCCCAGGCGGAGGAGATGGGGTGTAGGGTACAGGGCATGGTGCCCCCTACACTGGGCAGGGGAGCTGGGGTGCAGGTCCAGGCTCCCTACCCCAGGCGGAGGAGATGGGGTGTAGGGTACAGGGCATGGTGCCCCCTACACTGGGCAGGGGAGCTGGGGTGCAGGTCCAGGCTCCCTACCCCAGGCGGAGGAGATGGGGTGCAGGGTACAGGCACAGCGCCCCCTACACCGGGTGGAGGAGATGGGGTGCAGGTCCAGGCTCCCTACCCCAGGCGGAGGAGATGGGGTGCAGGGTACAGGCACAGCGCCCCCTACACCGGGTGGAGGAGATGGGGTGCAGGTCCAGGCTCCCTACCCCAGGCGGAGGAGATGGGGTGCAGGGTACAGGCACAGCGCCCCCTACACCGGGCAGAGGAGATGGGGTACAGGTCCAGGCACGGTACCCCTACCCCAGGGTACAGAGGAGATGGGGCGCAGTGCCCCTGGCACCCGGCCCAGGTTCCTCAGCGTGGCCGGGAGCTGCACACGGGCTGGGGGCGGGGCCGGGGCCTTGTGGGAGAAGCCGCTCATGAGCACGCTGTTGCGAGCGAGTTCGCACATGTCGCAGGAGCTGAGCTTCCACACCTGCGTGGCGATGCTGTACTCCTCCATCAGCGGCTCCTGCAACGGC